TACTACTACTGCTACTACTACCACTACTGCTACTACTACTACTACTACTACTACAACGACGACTACTAGTACGATAACTACTACTACTACTATACTACTACTACTACTACTACTACTACTACTACGACTACTAACTAACTACTACTACTACCACTTCACTACACCACCACTAGCACTACTACTACTACTACTACTACTACTACTACTACTACTACTACTACGACTACTGCTACTACTACTACTACTACTACTACGACTACGGCTACTACTACTGCGACTACTACTATTACGGTTACTTCTCTATTACGACTACTACGGCTACTAGTATTATTACTAGTAGTACTAGTAGCACTAGTAGTAAAAGTGGTAGTACAAGTAGTAGTAGTAGTAGTCGTAGTAGTAGTCGTAGTAGTAGTAGTAGAAATAGTAGTAGTAGTAGTAGTAGTAGTAGTAGTAGTAGTAGTAGTAGTAGTAGTAGTAGTAGTAAAGAAATAGCCCTAGTCGTAGTAGTAGTCGTAGTCGTAGTCGTAGTAGTAGTCGTAGTCGTAGTCGTAGCCGTAGTAGTGGTAGTAGTAGTGGTGGTAGTAGTAGTAGTGGTAGTAGTAGTAGTAGTAGTAATAGTAGTAGTAGTTGTCGTAGTAGTAGTAGTAGTAGTAGTAGTAGTAGTAGTAGTAGTCGTAGTCGTAGTAGTAGTAGAAGTAGTAGTCGTACTACAACTACTACTACTACTACTACTACTACTACCACTCATGCCTCAGGAGGTTTGAGGACCTCTCCGATTCATCGACGCGAAATGCAAAGGGTCCCCAAATTTAAAGACCTTTACCGGTCAAGGAGGGCCAGGACGATGCAGGGCGATGCAGGAAAGGCGAAGGCAAGCTCTATGAGCACAGCGGCACCTTAGCCAGCGAGGGCCCCCTGGCAGGATGAGCCCCTCGGGGGCGTCAGGGTGATCTCTTCGCGGGATCAGGGTTATCTCTTCGCGCACCACCGCGGGAGGCCTGCAGCCGAGCCTCTTCTTGGGAGAGGGCCTTTCCTCCTCGGAGCGCGAGGGGAGGCTCCAGCGCGCCTCCTCGGGGGTGCAGCTCCGTCGCCCTCCCTCTCGCGCCGCCGCCGCCGCCGCAGCCCCCCCACCCCTCCTTTAAGACGAAGCCAGGACGAAGATACATTCAGGTGCGGATGAATCGAGAATCTCTGAGATCCGGCGGTTCTGAGGGGGCGCCGCGGCCTTCCCAGGGCGTTCCGGAACGTTCTCAGAGCGTTCGGGACCTCTCTGGAACGGATTTGTCCTCGTCCCAGCCCCGTCCGACCCCCGCCACCCCCAGAAGTCGGAGAAGGGCCGTGTCGATGCAACGGCGGCCCTGCCTGGCGCTTTTCGCCCTGGGCCTCCTAGGAGCTTCTCATCGCCACGGCTGGATCCGCCTCGAAAAGCGGGACAGGGTGGACGCAGAGGGGGGGGTCCTGGAACGGATGTTGAGAGGATGAGGTCTGGCCGGGAGAGCAGGCGTTGTCTCAAATTGCGCTCCTTTGAACCAGGGCACCTCTCCGGCCCAGTCGCGCTGGGCGTGTGAGTATACTGGTCCATCATCTGCTCTCGGGTCGGACGAAAGGGGATGATGGTAAAGGGGGATACGCGACTCAGCCTTCTCAGAAGGCGGCGGTGCTTCTCAGAAGCCCTCGCGCCTTGTGAGAAGCTGCCCGCGTCTTCGGGGAAGGCTCGGAAGGCCTCTCAGGAGGCGCCAAGGCCTCTGAGAAGCCCCGCCGCCTTCCGAGAAGGTCTGCCCCCTCGCACCTCCCCCCCCGGGCGCGCCGCCGACTGTCCCCCCCCCTTTGGTCCGACCCGAAGTCCCTGCTGCCCCCCCGTGATACGCGCCGTCCCCAGCGCGAGGCGGAGGGGCCCCCTCCCGCCCGCCCACCTCTCGCCACCGCTGCGACGTCCACCCCCCCCTGCCGTTGTTGGTTTCTCGTGCGTGCTGTTTTGCCAAGAGGATCCAGGGTGCTCCTCGATCGCCCTCGCCGAGGAGGAGTGCACACGTCCGAGCGATGCCAGGGAGGCGTGCCGCGGGCGCCCTCGTTGCTGTCTTGGGGGGGGAGAGAGTCGGGTCGGGCGAAAGGGGGGGATAGCAAAGGGGGGGGGTGGAGAATCAGCTCACGTAGCTGATTCTCCCGGCGCCTCCTGGCGCCGGGAGGCGCCCACGTATCGAGGAATGGGCCCCTCGGTCGGGCCGAAACCAGCTGCATGCAGCAGATTTCGTACCCCCTTTCCCAAACCCCCCCTTTCGCCCGACCCGGGAGAGGTCGCGTGAGTCCGCCTACGCGCGGCTACAGTATGGGCCCGACCATAAGAGACCTTCCACAAACCGAGCCCTGAGACCCCAGGACGTCCATCGATGCTTGGTGTGGGAGCGTCACGCTCCCCATCGCCAAACCATGAAAACCCAAGAAACTCAGGGCACCCTGGAGGCAAGCAGGGTGTTTCTTGGCATGGGTCTCCACTGTACCCTTGCCCATCGCCAGCACAAAAAAGGGTCCCCAGAATGCTCCGGGAAGCGGCGGCCGGATCCTTCTGAGCACAGCGCGGGGGGCGACAGGGAAGGGAGGCACAGGGAGGCGTCAAACGGCACTGGGCGGTGCCCGCGTGCATCCGTCGCTACATGTCGCAGGGGCTGACGACATGATTCGCGGCGCCATAAGCCGTCGCACGCACAACTCCGCCTAAGGACTCGCAATTCTGCGACTTCAGCTCTTCGGCTAGAATGCCCTGGTCCTGCGGACAAATCTGGTCGCCTCACTGGTGCAGGGCCCCACCTGATCCAATTGGCACACGGCTTCTCAGGAAAAACTGCAAAATACCCTAGATATAACATATCACTTCGACATGCGAGGTAAATGTTTCGTATGAGCGTTACATGCAAACAAACACACATCCCCGTATATGCTCCACCGTGCCTCCCAAGAAACAACGAACGTTGCGACAATTGCACTGTTCGTAGCCTCCCAGGGAGCCGTGAAGTCTCGGCTGTATCCGCGTGGCTCCCGACTCCGCTGACCTTCCAGGAGCCAGCGAAAATGGGGACAACTGCACAGTCATCAGCCCCCCATGGAACTGCGAAGTCTCAGGTACTCCACTACTCTGCCGTGCACTCCCAGGAGCCCGCACGAAAGTGGCGGTAAGTGCGCAGTTCGCAACCACCCAAGTACCTGCGATGTCTCGGGTACTCCGCTACTCCGCCATGCCTACCAGGAACCAACGAAAATGACAACAATACTGCAATTCGCAACCCCCGAGGTCTCAGGTGCTCCGCTACTCCGCCATGCCTCCCAGGAGCGCACACTTTGCACCCGCCCAAGGAGCTGCGAAGTCTCGGGTACGCCGCTCCTGCGCCGTGCCTCCAAGGAGTCTACGAACGTGGAGGCATTTGCGCAGTGTCGCAACCACCCAGGGAGCTGTGAGGTCCCAGGTGCTCCGCTACTCCGCCGCGCCTCCAAGAAGCCCACGAACATTTCGACTACTGCGCAGTTCGCACCCCCCCAAGGCGCTGCGAAGTCTCGGGTACTCCGCTACTCCGCTGTTTCTCCCAGGAGCCCGCACGAAAGTGGCGGTAAGTGCGCAGTTCGCAATCTCCAAGGTAGCTGCGAGATCTCAGGTACTTCGCTACTCCGCCGTGCCTCCCAGCGACCCACGAACGTGGCGTCAATTGCGCGGTTCGCAGCCCCTGAGGGAGCTGCGAGGTCTCGGATGCTCCGCTGCTCTGCTCCGCTGCTTCTGCCGCGCAAGTGGCGCAGTTGCACAGTCCGTAGCCTCCCAGGGAGCATCGCAGAAGCAGGGACCGCAGTACTGCATTCAACAAGAAAACCCAGGTGCCCCTGGACCTCCTCCTCGTCTTCCTCCTCCCCCTCCTCTTCCTCCTCCTCCTCCTCCTCCTCCTCCTCCTCCTCCTCCTCCTCCCCCTCCCCCTCCTCGTCCTCCTCCTCCTCCTCCTCCTTCTCCTCCTCCTCCTCTCCTCCTCCTCCTCCTCCTCCTCCTATTCCTCCTCCACTCCCCTCCTCCTCCTCCTCCCCCTCCTCCTCATCCTCCTCCTCCTCCTCCTCCTCCTCTCCTCCTCCTCCTCCTCCCCTCCCTCCCTCCCTCCCTCCCTCCCTCCCCCTCCCTCCCCTCCCTCCCTCCCTCCTTCCTCCTCCTCCTCCTCCTCCTCCTCCTCCTCCTCCTCCTCCTCCTCCTCCTCTCTCCTCCTCCTCCTCCTCCTCCTCCTCCTCCTCCCCCCTCCCCCTCCCTCCTCCCTCCTCCTCCTCCTCTCCTCCTCCTCCTCCTCCTCCTCCTCCTCCTCCTCCTCCCAGTGCTGTATTCAAAACGAAAACCCAAGTGCCCCTGGACCAAAATGCACCCACGGCCGCCAAAGCACCCCTCACGAGGCCCAGAGCGCCCGAGGGGCTCCTGGGGACACCTCGGGCCAGGAGCACCAGCGGCGACCCCCGAGATCTGGGGGCCGTGTGCAAACACATGCAGCACTGAAATCCTCGACCATCGAAACTCGAGACTCGCTCCTCGACCCTCGAACCTCGAACCTCGAACCTCGACCCTCGACCCTCGGACCTCGGACCTCAAACCTCGAGCCTCTAAACGCAATCCTCGGTTCTCGACCCTGGAAAACCTCGACCCTCGATCCTCGAACATCGAAATCCGCTTAAAATCAACACCCATACCCCCCCTGAATTCATCCCAGCAAATTATTCATCCCACAACGGCATTCGACGGCCCCACGTCCCGAAAACTCCTTCCGGAGCCCGAGAATGCACATTCGAAATCAATTGAGGACAAATCCTCGAACCAGGATCCGCGGATCTCGGCGATGACGAACGACCACGGCGACGACGACGGCGTCGACGACCACGGCGGCGATGTCGTCGTCGTCGTCGCAGGTCGGCGGCGTCGTCGTCGGCGGTCGGCCGCGACGAGCGGCGGCGCAGCCGAGGCGACCGGCGCAGCTAGCGGGGGCCGCCTCCGACCCGGCCCAGCAGCGCAAGGGCCGCACCGCCAGTGGCGCCGGCGAGCGCAGGCGCTGGGGGGGCGGGGTCAGTCAGCGGGGAAAGCATGGCGGGCGCTCAAGGGGGGGGGCCCGGGCTGGCAGCACGCACATCGAAACAGTTGACCTGCGCCCAAGATTAGATGTCTCGCCGAATCTGCAGGAAAAGAAACTCCGAAATCCCAGTCGAGTCGCGAACATTCGACGCAGTCGTTGCAGATCCGATCGGGGAAAATCAATTTCGGGGTAAATCAATTGTGCAGTCGATCCCCTACTCGAAAGAGCAGGCGGGGCGAGGTGGGCGGCCTTCCGAGGCCGAGGGCTGCTTGGAGCGGAGCTGCCCCTTTCCTTGCAGAGGCCTCTCGAGAGATCCTGGAGCAGGAGCGACGCGCGCACCGATCCTGTCGAGGGAGCGGCTCCTCGAGAGACCCTGGCGAAGGATCGGCTTCTCGGCGGCGGGGTCGGGCCGACGCGCGCATGCGGACTCGCTGCCCGCCTGCGCCGCGGCCTGTGGCGGCCATCGGGCGCGCGAAGGGTCAGCGCGGAGGGAGCGGGCCCCGAGGCGGCCCCCGAGATCGCGGGGCAGCACCGGCCAGCATAGGATCGGCACGTCGAGCCGGAGTCGAGGGGTGCGTCAGCTCGTCAGCACAGGCCGCATCGGCACGGAGCTGGAGTCGAGCGGGATCGGCCGCGCCAGGGTGCACAGCAGACCGCCATGCGAGCACCGGGAGGCATCGGATCGCTGAAGCATCGGAAGGGTGGAGCCGACCAGAATCGATATCAAATCGGATCGGTCTGATCGAGATGGACCCAGGAGGGAGGGAGGCACACGAAGGGAGAGGAAGGGGAAGGAGGAGGGGCAGGGGGAGGGGGAGAGAGAGGAAGAGGAGGAGGAGGAGGAGGAGGAGGAGGATCGTGTCCTGACGAGGTGTTCGGAACAACTGTTCGTCGAGGAGCGGAAATCTTCAAGTCTGGGCTCGCCGGCTGAAACCACGACGCACGAAACGGCTCGCTGGCTGAAACCGCGACGCGCGAAACGCGGTGATCATCGCATCCCTGAGGGTGCCCAACCAGAAAGCTGGAACGCACATGGCTGGACCCACACGTGGAACATCCCGTGGCCACGCGCTGGATACAGATGCAGAAGCCTGGCCTGCATGGCCATAGCAGTGCTGGGCGCTGCAACCATATCTGTTCGCCACAGCCACATCTGTACCCAGCTCTCGCCGAGGCTGGCCACATCATGTGTCCAGCTTCCTGGTAGGAGGAGGAGAATGGTGCTTAACGATGGGGCGGCCCAACAGCACCTCGAGCTCGAGAAAGGCAATCACATTTGGCAGGGAAGAGAATGTAGAATGAGGAAAGACCTTCACATAACAATGCTTGATATCGTGGATGTCCGGTCCAGAACTGCAGCACGCCTTTCCAAGCGATTGGATTGTACTCTTAAAAGGCCGCATCGAAACCAGACCAGTTGCGACGCAAGTTTTCCGAAGGCTCATAGCTTATGAGGACGAGGAGGGATGAGAAGATGAGGTGGAGGTGGGCCCGCCCTGGCTTCCTCAATCATCTGCCTCGACCTCCTGTTCCACCTCCCGAACACCCCCCCCTGCAACGAGGAGGAGGGAGGGGGGAACCAGAAAAAGGAGTTCGCGGGATGCTTCGCCTACACAGTGCTACTATGAATTATGGGAATAACAAAAGAAATCCGCTGGCCCCCCCTTGTGGGGATACCAGACTGTAAGCTTCGCAGTTTCCTGTACCAGTTGCAGCTTCCAGTTTCCACTGTTACAGTTCTGCTTCTTGCTGTTTACTGTTCCTTGCTGAATTCTTGCTACTTAGAGTTCCTTGTTGATGGACCGCGCGAGGGGGGGAGGCCCAAAACGGGCATTTTTACCACGCCCCAAAAAAGTTCTCAGAATTTCGGGGGGGGGGGTAGAAATTGACACCCCTCACGCAGATCGGCGGGGTCAGGATCCAAAAGCACATAGGATTTGCCACATTTCTGAGATTCGGTGGCACCCCCTCAGGCAGATCGGCGGGGTCAGGGTGCAAAAACATCAAGGGGTTGCCACATTTCTGAAATTCGGTTGCACCCCTCAGGCATGTCGGCAGGGTCAGGGTGCAAAAGCATCAGGGATTTGCCACATTTCTGAAATTCGGTGGGACCCCTCACGCAGATCGTCGGGGTCAGGGTCCAAAAAACACATGGGATGTGCCACATTTCCGACATTCGGTGGCACCCCTCACGCAGATCGGCAAGGTCAGGGTTCAAAAACACGGGGAATTTGCCACACGCCCCATCACGCAGATCGGCAGGGTCAGGGTCCAAAAACACAAGGGATTTGCTACATTTCTGAAATTCGGTGGCACCCTCACGCAGATCCGAGAAGTCAGGGTCCAAAAACACATGGTATTTCCAACATTTCTCAGATCCGGCGGCACCCCTCACGCAGATCCGTAGGGTAAGGGTCGAAAAACAAACAGGTCCCGACACTGCTTCACGGCGGCGCCCAGACCTCATGATTTAGCTTTTGCATCTCCCATTATCGGAGACAGGGGGCCGGCGGCATGGGGCGAAGCCCTTACGGATAGCACTATCTCATTCAACTCTCCGTCAAGCCCTAAGCTACCCTCCGACCAACCTTGCCCAACCTCCTTGCCAACGCTGGTTACGGTACGTGCTTATTCACGCGTATGCTGCCTCGACGGGACAACGTCCGGGGCGACACCGACAACGAGTCCTGTTCGAAACAGGCAGGAGCTTCTGCCGGTCTTCGTCCCCAGTCTCTCCGTACTAATACATCGTGACGATCTCATACGCGGCCATCGCAGCGATCGGGTGGCCACCAAGTCGGTGTGGAGATCGCCCGCGGTCCACGCCCAGATCGTTTCTGACCCCGCCGCGAGGGCGAGCTCACGTCGCACTCCGCGGCCTCCCTGCGCCGCAGAGTCCCCAGCGGGGAGGTGCGGAGGGGGGACCTGGCAAGGTGCAGATCCAGCAGTCCCTTGAGGTCCCTGGACACCAGAACAAATAGGCTGGACACCAGAACAAATAGGCTCACGCAGCTCCTCTGGTCTCAGCGACCTGGGTCAAGACGCGATCACCTCAAAAGGGCAATTCGACTTCGCGGAGACAACGCACAGCAAAACCAAACAGCTGCATCATCGACCCCCTAACCTGAGGTCGGGCATGTCCTCCTCCAGGCGGACATTGGAAGAAAAACGAAAAACAAGAGGAATAGTCAACAATACACAACATGAGTCAAACATACGTAATAGAAAAATCGTCACCTGATTATTTGTTGACTGTCTTGAATATTCCTCCTGTAGAGGGACATGCCCAACTTAACTTAAACCTCCTGTAGAGGAACATGCCCGCCTGACGACCACTCCAGCCAGTCCCGACCCCCCCAGAGGGTGTCCTCCAGCGCCTCCGCCCAGCGCTCCGACAAGTGGCACGACGCCGCAAAGGCCGCCGCGTAGTAGGCCTCCCCGGCAGGGGGCGCTGGCAAATCCTCCGCCCGACCTCAGACCCGGGCGACATCAACTCGGCTACACGTAAGAGGTCGTGACCCGAAAGGAGGTCCAGCTGAAAGGGGGTGGAGCAATAGGCTTGGGGACCATGTATTGCAAAAGGATTTTGCAAAATAATCGTATTGCATGCAACTAACGCATTGTATGTGGAAATCCAGCTAGACATCTGCGCACCAGAATGCACTGCACACCCCAAATCTATTGCAACCCTACAAATAACCAGCCTCGAACGTATCCCTATCCCAAAGATTGGCACGCCAAAGGGCGATGACAATCTTAGGGATCCGCCCTCACAATCTAAGGGAATCCCTAAGATTGGCCTCGTGATGAGGAGGTGCCCAGCATAGGGATAGGGATATGTTCCAGGCTGGTAAACATTTATTTTTATATATATATATATAGATATTGCACCAAATCTATTGCACCACCCCCTTGTCGCTTGACCCTCTTTTGGGTCAACCAAAGTGAAGGGGACCCTGGGTAAGAAAGATCTTTGGTGCGCGGCTGTTTGGAGGCCGCGGGAGGGCCAAACCCGTGCGCGCAAGCCGCTGCTACCGTTTCGCGCTCCGCGTTCGGGGGACCCCAGTGGGCCCACACCAGCCACGGCCACGCGAACGGCGAATGTTGCTTGACGGAGATGCTGACAACGAAATCATAGGAAAACGCGCACCATACTTCCCTACATGTCCATTGCTGGCACGAAATTGAAGCACATCCCCCGGAACCAACGCGGATGCATCAAGCGAAAACGACACAGCGAATTGCAGGAAAGCGCGACCCACGCGCCCCCCAACAACGCCGAGACTTACATCGCCATTGCCAACATCGCCGCGATGGCGTGTCTACGCGCCACAGGCCACTCTGGCGAAAGGTCACCCCTGCGTGTAATCGACAAGCGAACATCGAGACGGCCAGTTCTGCTGCGCCGGCATGTGGAGGCCGAGCTTCCCAGTCCCGGAAAAACGTCACGAAACATCTCCGCCTGTGTAGAAAAATGAAAAAACTGCATGGGCATCAGCTTCTGGCGCTCCGCGTGGATTTCTCGGATCTGCGCTGGAACCCCCCCGTGGCACGCGGAGCGCGCCAGGGGCGGCGTCGGAGGCGCCGCCAGGGGTGGCCCAGCGCGGATCCAAAAAATCAGCGCGGAGCGCCAACAGCTTATGCTTATGGCGCTTTCTCCTCTTCGGATGTGTGAGGACATAAAAAAAGTCGGGGCGGAGGGGACGCGCTGGCTGGTGGATGGAGTGATGAAGGTGGAGCTCGGGATGGGGGAGGCCGTGCCTTGCCGAAATAAAGCGGTCGGGGCGGAGAGGGCGCGATGGCTGGTGGGCGGGGTGATGCCGAGGGGGCGCGCTGGCTAGCCAGTTCGCTGCGCTGGCCAGTTGGGGGGGATGCGGAGGGCCGATGGGCTGCTTCGGCATGGCTGCTTCAGAAAGGAAATGCGGAGGGGACGCGCTGGGAGGTGGGGGCCTAAGGGCTGCATCAACCGGTGCCGTGCCGAAATACAGCGGTCGGAGCTCTAGACAAACTTTATGCAATATATGAATGATGGACGAGGAGGAGGAGGACGGGACGAGGAGGAGGAGGACCAGTGCAAACCCAAGACTCATCAACGATGTTGGGTACACCCTCCCTCCAAGCTCCCTCACTTCCACTGGGGGTCGTGCCCCGCTAGGAGACAACGGTATGACAAAATCCTGAAGCGTGCCAAAACACATTTCTAGGGACGTCAACGCCACGAATCAAGTTGGCAATTGCGTTTTGACGGTCCTGCATCGTGCGAGAACACCATTCCTTGGACATCAACACCGCGAATCAACGTAACTGTTGCGCCCTGACAATCCTGGCCCATTCGAAACATTGGAAGGTTAACCATGAGACCATGGGAATCCGCGTATCTCTTGCAACACTGTAGAAACGAATGTACGCGGCGCGAAGGCGAGAACCACGTGTTGAAACCGACCCGCCCTTAACCCGTGAAACTCTTACACCGGATGAAAACGAATGTGCGCGGCGCGAAGGCGAGAACCACAATTTGAAAACGACCCGCCCTTAACCCGTGAAGGTCTTAAAACAGATCTAATCGATGGTACGCGGCGCGAAAGCGAGAACCAACTTGAGAAAAGAACCTGCACACAATCCGTGAAGCTCTTGCATATGTTTAAAACGAATGTGCACCGCGCTTATGCGAGAATTACATGCGGAAAAGAAACCGACCTGAATCCGTAAAAAACTTGCGGATCTTGATACGGATGTGCGCGGCGCTAAGACGAGAACGCATTTCGAAATCGATCCGCCCTCAATCCGCGAAACGGCTGCAAACGTTTAAGACGAATGTGCGCGGCCCTCGGCGAGAGCCACAGTTTGACAACCACCCGCTCCCCCATGTGTCAAACGGGTGCCAATGTTTAATCTCCATGGTCATAAAGAGTATCTCCAGCGAAACGCGCCTTCCGCCCTTCCGACTGGCCTCGAGATGCGACAGGTGGGAGTTACGGACCCATCAGGGGGAGGGGGAGGAGTTGGACGAGGGGGATGGGGCGACGGGGAGGAGTGCAACAGAGAGAGGGGGAAAAGGAGGAGGAGGAGGAGGAGGAGGAGGAGGAGGAAAAGGAGAAGGAGGAGTGGCGAGTTGGAGGAGGAGGAGGAGGAGGAGTTGGGTGGGGGGGTGCGACAGGGAGGGGTTGGAGGAGGAAGGGGCGGCCCTCCCCCAGGCGCACCTCGAAGTCGGCGCTGCGCCGCTCCTGGGCGCCGCGGCTGCCTCCGCTCTCCTGGCGGCCAGGGAGGGGCGGGGGGACCTCTCCCGCCTGTCGCCTCCCTCCCAGGATCCCGCCGTCACCTTCATCGCTCCTCCAACCTCCTCCCCCCCCCCCCCTCCTCCTCCTCCTCCTCCCTCCTCCTCCTCCTCCTCCTCCTCCTCCTCCTCCTCCTCCTCCTCTCCTCCTCCTCCTCCTCCTCCTCCTCCTCCTCCTCCTCCTCCTCCTCCTCCTCCTCCCTCCTCCTCCTCCCTCCTCCCGCCTCCATCCTCTGTCATTGTCTCACACCCCACTCCTCTAGCCCCCCTCCATCCGGCAGCTTGTTGCTTCCTGCAGCCTCCACGATCCCCCCTCCCTCTCTCCGAATCCTCCACCTCATCCCCTTCCCTCCTGCTGCTGCGCTGCCCAGCATCCTCAATGACATGATCAGCCTCCTCGTCCTCCTCTTCGTCCTCGTCCTCCTCCTCGTCCTCCTCCTCCTTCCCACCCTGCCTGCAGTCCATCAGTGCTTTCGCGTTCCTCCCGCTGACTTCGTCTGCCTCTTCTACATGACGGCGTTCGCTTGACGGTGTGGGACGTCCTGGTCGAGGGTGTTCTGTATTATCATGCTTGCTGTCTCCATGGTAGGTCGGAATCGGACCTGGCCCTTTCGGGTTTGCTGAGGAGGAACAGCCAGATGGAAATCAGGATCATGAGGAGATGCCATGGCAGGGAACAATATGAATATTAGTACAGAGGACGTGAATGCGAAGGGGGGGGAGAATGAAGAAGAGGGGGGACGATGGGTAGTGTGCAAACAGACGCATCGCGACGCCTGCGCAGGGTTCTGGTTTTGAGTTGCGCACTGGGGTCGCGTCTCCTCTTTGCCGCCTCTGTTCTCCTCTGTTCTCCTCTCTCCTTCTCTGGCCTCCTGTCTCCTACTTCCTGCCTGCTCCTACCTGCCTCCTACCTCGCCATCCCTACTGGGGGGCTTCGAAGTGTGACACTGTCGCCACGTTCGAGGGCTGTTCGGGTGGGATCAGGAGTCGGAGGCTATACAATTTCTCACTAGACCTCGCCATCACTGGGGGCTGCGATCTGCGAATCTGTCGCCACTTTCGGGGGCTGCTGGGAAGTGCAGCGGAGTCGGGGGCCATGCAGTTTCTCAATAGACCTCGCCACCCGGTGGGGGGCTGCGATCTGAGAAACTGTCGCCACTTCCGAGAAATGCCGAGGGGGGGCCTGCTTAATGCGTCGCCATCCTTGGGAGGGGGGCTGCGATCTGCGAGACCGTCGCCACTTTCCAGGAAAGCTGAGGGGGGCCAGCTTAGCGCGGAGCTACGCAGATCAGAGCGTGAACTCGCCATCCTTTCTGAATCAACACATGTTTGGGTTGTTGTTTAAATTGTTGGTGTATAAGGAACTCGCCATCCCTGGGGGGCCTCCCTCCTCGTCCTTCGGTGGCTGTCCTGTGAGTCGTGCAACGCGCGCGCGCGCGACATGCCCTGCACAACATACCACGGCCCCCGTGTTATCACCATCCATTCGAATTGAGGCTGGCTCCTCTTCACACTTGGTGCAATTTGTTAGGAGGCAACTACTGGGAGGTCTTCGTCGGAAAGGTTAACGAGAATAAAACCCATTTGCAGGCTACTGCGCCGGATTAGGCAGCGGATTAAGCGGGATTAAACCTCATTCAGCGAAATTAAGCCCCATTCAACGGCATTGAGCCGGATTAAACTGAACTGTATTTCGGACCAGGGCAGAGTCAGAATTCCACATCCCAGGAGTTCCACCCGAAGACTGCGTTGGGTACGTCGCTGGGTAATGTCTAGGCTGTTCCCAGCGGACGGCCTTGATATTCGTCAGCTGTGCAGCGCCGCCTTGGAGAAGAATGTGCCGTTGACGGTGCAGCCGAGTGCCGAGAACAGAAGCTCAAGCAACGCCAGGGTCGCACACGATGAAGGCTCGGTCGCACGTCCTCGAGCCAGCGTACACGCCGGTCGGAAGAAGCGGACCAGGATCGAATATCGATGGACGTGATGATGCTCTGTGTGCCTTTGGAGGCCTGTGGAGGCCTCTGGAGACCTTTGGGAAAATGCTTAGAACATATCCCCTCTTGCCTACAAGTCGGAAGGGAGAAACACGCAGAACCATTGGACCAGAAGGCGTTTAAAGTTTGCTGGTTTTCGGCACGGAGCGGAGAAAATAAATGAACAACACATGTACATCCACCGCTGAGGTAGAAATTGAGCAGGGACCGACCGTCCTGGCACTCCTATAGGCCTACCATGACATGTTCTTAGAATCCAATGATTCTCTAAGAACAAAACCATGTTCTTAGAACGTAAGCCCGATGTGCTAAAGCAAGACCGTCCCAGCCAGAAATGTTCTAAGATCAGTTCGTGGAACCCACAGAACAGGTCCTTAGAACATGGTTTGGTTGGACTACGGGCGCGCCATGACGCTTCGCCTCTGCTTGAAGAAGAACGTCCAGAACCTGGCACGGCCTTGTATCCCTACGGAAACTTACTTTCAAAAACCAAATGCTCGGCGCCTACCCCATCTCTCTTCATGATTCCTCTTGCTCATCCACTAACGCACGCACGCGGAATCTCAAGGGGGCACGGGCCCCCTGCTGGGAAAGGTGGGCGCGGGGCCATACTCTTGGCGTGGGCCGTGGACTGCGATGGTCTGCCACCTCATCCTACAGGAGTGATGGCGATGAATGTAGCCCTCCATCCATCCTCCTGCCCCCACCTTGCATCATCCATCTTCTCCCCCTCTCCCCCTCCTCTTCGATCCCTCCCCCATCCCTGCCTCCCCTCCCTCCCTCCCTCATCCCCCCCCCCCCACCCTCTCCCCCTCTCCCCCTCCTCCTCCCCCCCTCCCTCCTCCCCTGCAGCCCTCCCTCCCTCCTCCGCTCTCTCCGTCCCTCCGCCCTCCTCCCCCCCTCCCCCCCTCGCTCTTCCCTTCTCCGTCCGTCCTCCATCCGCCCCCTCCCTCCTCCCCACCCCCGCCCCCGCCCTCCTCCCCCCCCCCCCCTCCCCGGGGCAGCGCCTCCGCCTCGCCGCCCGGCGGCGCCGCCGCCGCCGCCGCGGCCATCGCTGCCGCCCCCGCGGCGCGGGCGGCAGGGAGGCCCCCGCGAGCGAGGCGGGGCGGGGCCCGCCGCCCTCGGCGAGGGATGGGGGCGGTGGGCGGGCAGAGGCGGCGGGAGACCTGTACAGGACTCCAGGTGTCGTCGGCTGGCGAGGGGAGGCCTTCCCAGAAGGATCAGAGGCAGAAGCAGGAGGAGAAGGCGACGTCTTGTTGTTCAGAAGGTTCGGAAGCCCCCCCGGCCTCGTGAGAAAGCGTTCCTGTGCCTTCCCCGAAGGCACGAAACACTTCTCGGAAGGCCTGAGGGCTTCTGAGAAGCCCCGCCGCCTTCCTTCTCATTCCCCCCCCCCTCGCTCGCCACCGAATGTTGACGTCGCGCAAGCCCGCGAGGGGGCATGGGGTCCAAGTGAAGGACACAACAGGCAACCATCAGGCCTGGACCCCTCTGGGGGTCCAAACGCATCAGTTTTCCAAGCTGCGTCCAGCCGTGGCGACAATAGGGCATCCCGAAGTCCACCTGCGGTTGTCTAAACTGGGCCCCCTCTCAGAGTCGAGTCCTCCTCCGCCGTCTCTTCCTTATCATCCTCCTTCTCCATTCCTGTTTCCTCATGAAAAACCGTGCCTGTCACACCCCGAGGCCGGTCGAAACGGCCGGCCAGGCGATTCGCCTAAGACTTCCTCACCATGTATGACCATGAAGCTTAAACGTTGGCAATCGTTTCACCGATGGAGGGCGGGCGGTTTTCAAAATGTGGCTCTCGCCTCTGCACCGCACACATCTGTTTTAAACATATGCAAGAAATTCGCGGGCTGAGGGCGGGTCGTTGTCAAAATGTGGCTCTCGCCTTAGCGCCGTGCACAGTCGTTCAAAAGTTCGCAGCAGTTTCGTGGATTGAGGGCGGGTCATTTTCAACTGGTGGCTATCGTCTTAGCACCGCGCACATTCGAATCAAGATTTTGCAACCTCTTCGCGGATTGAGGGCGAGTCATCTTCAACATGTGGCTCTCGCCATAGCGCCGCGCACTCTTGACCTGTTACTAGCACGTTTGCAAGAACTTAATGGATTGAGGGCGGGCCATGTTCAACATGTTGCTCTCGCCTGAGCGCCCCGCACCTTCGTTTTCAAAACTTGCGAAGACCCTCAGGAATGCTTATAGTCAACGTACCAGAAATTGTAGTCTGGACCGGTTTACGATTGCCAGGGCGCAACAGTTACTTTGATTCACGGTGCTGAAGCTCCAGGAACGGTGTTCTGGTACGAACCAGAATCACCAAGACCGTACAATCAATCGAGTCTCGTGGGGTTGAAGTTATTTGAATGGTGTTTGGCACGCTTCAAGATTTTTACACGGTAATTCCCCAACGGGGGGATTCCGTGTGGAGATGCAGCCTTGAAGGGGCCCATGGAAGGGAGCCTGGAGGGAGGGTGCATTCCAACATCTATGATGAGCATTTGGGTTTGCACTGGTCATCCGCCCCTTCCTCCTTCCTCCTTCCTCCTCCTCCTCCTCCTCCTCCTCCTTCTCCTCCTCATCCTCCTCCTCCTCCTCCTCCGCCTCCGCCTCCGCCTCCGCCTCCTCCTCCTCCTCCCCCTTCCCTCCTCGTGCAGTAAATGCAGTGTTGGATCAAAGTCCGCACGCGCGCGGCTTTCACATGGCCCCGAAACCCCAGGAGACCTCGAAAGCCCACAATATCTAACCGCGCGGTCAGTCACAGCACCATGTCAAGACCCTGGAGACCCCATCCTCGGAGAACGACCCGAGTCCTAAAGCCGTGCGATCATCCCGAATCCGGACTGACTCACCACACGGTGTGGTCCCCCCTCCTCCTCCTCCTCCTCCTCCTCCTCCTCCTCCTCCTCCTCCTCCTCCATTCCTTCTCCTTGTAGACAACTCCTCCCTGTCGCACCCCGAAGACAGTTTTTATGGTGGGCCGGGCGTTTCGCCTGAGACTTCCTCACCACTCATGATTCTGAAACTTACAGGTGGCAGCAGTTTCACAGATTGAGGGCGGGTCGGTTTCAAAATGTGGCTCTCGCCTTAGGGCCTCGCACATTTTCTTTCAAACTTTGCAAGAGTTTCTCAGATGGAGGGCGGGTCGTTTTCAAAATGTGGCTCTCGCCTGAGCGCTGCGCACATTCGTTTTCAAAATTTGCAAGAGCTTCACGGATCGAGGTCGGGTCGTTGTCAAAATGTGGCTCTCGCCGTAGCGACGCGAACATTCGTTTTCAACATTTGCAAGAGTTTCACGGATCGAGGGCAGATCCTTTTCAAAACGTGGCTCTCGCCATAGCGCCGCGCACATTCGTTTTCAACATGTGCAATGGGTTTCAAGGATTGAGGGCGGGTGGTTTGCAAAATGTGGCTCCCGCAATAGCGCCGCGCACATTGGTTTTCAACATGTGCAAGAGCTTCTCGGATAAGGGCGGGTGGTTTTCAACATGTTGCTCTCGCCTCACCGCCGCGCACATTCTTGATAAGAAATTGAAGGATTCACGGGTTGAGGGCGGGTGGTGTTCAAAATGTGGCTCTCGCCCTAGCGCCGCGCACACTGGTTTTCAACAATTTGCAAAAGTTTCCCAGATTCCCGTGATGAGCGTATCAGACATGTTCGGAAGTATACATTATTGTGCGGGTGCAACAAGTATGGTGATTCGCGGAGTTGAAATCCATACGTTGGCGTTATGGCACGAGTCCGGATCGCCAAAACGCAGCAGTCAGATTGATACGTGGCGTTGGAATCCCGAGAACAATGTTTTGGCATGCTTCAGGATCTTCAAACGGTTGTCTTCCAACGAGGCAGTTCCCCCAATGGAAATGAACCGTGGTAGGGGCCTCTGAAGAGAGAGCCTGGAGGGAGGGTGAATGCCAACATCGTTGATGACTCTTGGGCTTCCACTGGTCCTCCTCCTCCTCCTCCTCCTCCTCCTCCTCCTCCCCCTCCTCCTCCTCCTCCTCCTCCTCCTCCTCCTCCTCCTCCCCCTCCCTTCCGCAGCTAGCCTCCCTCCTGGCAAAAGGGAGGCTGGCGCGCGTGCGCGCGCGGCTCGCGCAAGGGCGCGCCCCCCGTCGGCGGTGGCCCGCGGGCGCTCCTCGTAAATCTGCTGGCACAGCTCGCGCGTGGGCGCCATGACCTCCGGGCGCCACGAAGGCCGCGCCGAGCAGCGAGGGGCTCGCCATCGCTCGGACGTCCATTTCCCGTGCATGTTTCGGTCTCGCGCGTGTGTTTTTTGCTCGATGGTCCAAGATCGTCCTCAATTGACTACCTACCAGACCACCCCAACCCAACCCGAAGACCCGAATTTCGGGTTGGGGGGGGTATGGGTTCCACACGTGTTTTTTCGATGTTCCCGGACCCCCCCCACTAGAAATCGAGGGTAAATCTGAGCCTTCGGGTTAGGTTGGGGTGGTTTGGTGGGGGGTGATCAATGGCTCTCGCCGAGAGAAAAAGGCACACGTCCGAGCGATGCCAGGTTGGTGCGCGCGGCCCGCCGACTGCCGCGCGCGCTGCGGCGGTCGCGGCCTGCGCGCTCGGGCCTGCGCCCCCCCCCCCCGCCCGCCCCTCCCGTGGCCCTGGGCCTCCGTGGCCCGCGGCCTGCCGATCGCTGCATGCGATGCTGGCTGCCGCGGCCTGCGTGTCTGGACTCGGCGATGCATCGCCCGTAAATCGGCGCCGAGCCCCAAGTGCTGAGTCCGCGTGCTTCTGGACGGGGGGGGCCATCGGTCCCCTTATCGGCGATGAGTGGCCGATTTGGGGGCGATGCGTTCCTCCCTGGTGCCATCCCGCCGAACGCTGCCCCTGAAAGAGAAGCCCTGGTCCCTTGGCGCGCGGCCAGCTGATCGTTGCAAGCGGTGCGGCCGTAGCGGTCAGCGTGCTCGAATTCCCCCCCGTGGCCCAAGGCCCTAGGCTTTTGGTGCGCGCGGCCAGCCAAGCCCATCGTGGCGCACGATGAGGCACTCGCGGCATGCGTGCTGGGGGTTGCCCCCCCCCCGTGGCCCTGGGCCTTTGGTGTGCGTGAGGCCTGCGGGCTTGGGCTTTGCCGCCCCCCCCTCCACGCCTCTGTGGGCCCCGGAAACGGCAAGGCCGTTTTTTTCACCGTTTCCCCCAAAATGTTCCCTGAGAATGGAAACGGCAGAAAACGGCGACCGGAAACAGCAACAAAACGGCTCCAGGATGGGAACCGGAGCCGGAGCCGGTCAAACAACGGCGACGGAAGCGGTAAACAAAACGGCGTCGGAACCGGCCAGAAAACGGCAGAACGGAAGCGGTAAAAAAACGGCCCTGTCGCTTCAGGGCCCACTGAGACTCTACGCACGCTGCGCACCGGGCGTCGCTCCCACGAACGGCCGCTGTGGCGCGCAGCGGGGGCACAAAAGGTGGGGGCGGCCCCCACGGCGGGTCAGAGCCCGTGAGAGCCGCCTTGCCGTGCGCGGAGGGCGGGCGACGACCGGTCGAGGAGCTGGATCGCCGCGCTGTGGAGGGCGCGCCCGTCCCAAGCCGATGGGGGAAGGTAGAGGGGGGATACGAAAGGAGGAGGAGAGGAGGAGGAGGAGGGGGAGGAGGAGGGGGAAGAAGACCAGCGTAAACTCAAGGTGCGACCACGATGTTGCAATCAGTGTTCGCTCCAAGATCTCTCTTCACAAGTCTGACCCCAATGTATCGCCATCGCGGGGGAGTGCTCCATTGGAAGACAATCGTCTGGGAATCCTGAATCGTGCCACAACATGATTACCATCCCGAGGACTTCAACAACGAGAATGTTTGTGAATGCTGTCCGGACATTCCTAAGTCGCGCCAGGATGCCATTCCGGGAACTTCATTCCAGGGACTTCGGCCATACGACCCAAAGAGGCCCCCAAGAGGCGTCCCAAGCGAGCCCCAAAAATCAGAAATCGTCAAACTCCCATCGTGAAATGATCATGTTTCCCATATTGGCCTCTTGCGGTTTCGCAATGTCCGACGCGGGCCACGAAACCTTCCATATCCTCCCAGGACGGCCTTGGCAACTGCAGAGAGAGGTCCAGGAGGGCCCGCTGACGGCCCAAGAAGCGCCCAAAACGGCCCAAGAGGGCCTCCAGACGGCTCCAAGAGGGAGCCTGGAGGGAAACTTTTTGGCCCTGTGGCTCCGAGATTCCCTCATCCTGCTGCAATAACCTCCCAAGAGGGTGCCAAGGAACCCCAAGCGAGGCCCAAAAAGCCCCTAACAGGCTCCCGGGCAACCCTCACGAGGCCCTTGCACTACCTCCAAGACGCCCCCGTGGCGTCTCAAGACCAGATTGTCACTCCTCCTCCTCCTCCTCCTCCTCCTCCTCCTCCTCCTCCTCCTCCTCCTCCTCCTCTCCGCGGCGAGCCTGGGGGGCATGTGAGAAGGGGCGGGCCTTCTCAGAAGGCTCGGAAGTCGCCAGGCCTTCTGAGAAGTGTTCGAAGCCTTCCCCGAAGGCGCAAGGGAATTCTTGGAGGGGCGCGAGTGCTTCTGAGAAGCCCTCTGCCTTCCGAGAGGGCCTTCGCCTGCTCACTTCCCCCCCTCGCTCGACGCCAATCCTCTGCCCTCCTCCTCCTCCTCCTCCTCCGTCCTCCTCCTCCACTCTCCTGCAGGCGAGGTGGATCGGAGAGGGCGCGCAGAGAGGACCCGAAACCCTTCCGAGGGCCATACTGCCATACAGATGCAGAAGGCAAGGGCCGCGAAACCCAGAACACGAGGGCACCCTGATTCGGCAGGGTCGACCCACTAGTCGGCCTCCACTGTACTCCGTCCTCCTCCACGGTTGACGCGGCCGCACCGATCGCAGCGCCCTCGTGGCTGCAAGCGGGTGCCTCTTCCCATCGCGAGTCCGCTGGTGCGCCGGAGAGCTGCGTCGCGGGCCAGAGTCCCGACACCAGGCCGACACGCCGTCCGCATCCACCACGTATCCCCCAAGAGCTCCAGAAGATCGATCGGCCAGAGGACGAGTGGGAAAGCGGGAGGAGAAGGACGAGGGGCAGAGGAAAAAGAGACTAAGTACGAGGTCGAGGGGGAGAAGTATGGGGAGAGGAACGATATGACTTCCTGGACCCAATCCTCGTGTCGTCGCCTTCTCCTGACAATCCTCCGCTTACCCTCGCCCCAGCATTCGAACCTCGACCCCATGACTCTCCTGCACCTCATCTACATCCCCCGTCACCCTCCTGACCCTCCTGGCCAACAGCTTATCAGCATCGGTTCCCGGAGGTAGTGCATCCTGAATCAATATCTGACGACGGTCTTGAATCTTGACGCGGGCCCCAGGAGAAACCGAGCCGTGTGTTTTGATTCGATCGTCTGCCCCCCCGCCCCCCCCACCCATCCACCCCTCATGTAAAAAGGCCGTCCACGGCGACGAACACCGAAAACCGACCGAACAGGGCTGAATCTCAAGGGTGTTTCTCGTTTTCGTTTTGTTTTCGTTGTCCCTCGCTTTTGTCTCGCATCCTCCTTTACCGCAAAACGAAGTCGAAAAGAAAGCAGCCCACGAAATCACCCGACGTACCGTTTATGTCCAGCCATGCGACCGAGGCGCCCCTGAAAAAAAGAAGCCGCCGGGCCGACGCGCGCAGCGACGCGGCAGCGACACGCCAGCCGACCGACCTGGGCCGACCGGGCGCAGCAGCTTGGCGACGCGGCCGAGCCGGCCGACCGAGCCGCTGACACCTCTTCCTTTTGCCGGTTCCCCCCTACGTTAGGAAGCAACTACTGGGAGGTTTTCGTCGGAAAAACAAAGGAGGATTAAGCCCCACTGGGGGGCTCTTACGCCGGAAAGGGCCTCGGATTAAGCGGGATTAACATGGATTTAGCTTTCGCAGGATTAAGCCGGATAAAGCGGGATTAAAACGGATTAAGCCGGGTTTCGGACCGGGGCAGAATCAGAATTTGACCTCCCAAGAATTGCACCCGAACCTACGGCAGGCTCGTGTCGCGCCAAATTCGGCGTTGGTTCCTGACACCACGGGGATCGTTCAACCTCCAAGGATCGGCCGATTCCGAAACGTCAGGATCGTTCAACGACGACCGATTCTGGGCTGCCGCCGGCGTTCAACGTTGACCGCGGGCGGCGGGGTCGCCGCCGGTCGACGCGACGCGAACCTTGCGTACACCTCCTCCTTCTCTGCCCTGGCGGACCAGCATGGTGGGCCCAGTTCTCGAGCTGCACTCGAAGCCGGTCTGGAGGGGGGGGGCATGGAGGCGAGGGGAGGCGGAGGACCCGGGGCGCGCCGGGAGGGAAAGCGAGAGGGGGCGGGCAGATTCTCAGCCCGCGGTCGGTGGCCTGGGAGAAGGCTTAGCAGGCTTCTCCGACGGCCGGAGGCCGTCGGAGACTGCGGAGAAGGCCCGCCCCCTCGGCTTTGCAGGACACGACCTGGAGACGCTGAAGTTGCACTGCAGGTGGAGGGAGGAGGAGGAGGAGGAGGAGGAGGAGGAGGAGGAGGAGGAGGAGGAGGAGGAGGAGGAGAAGGAGGAGGAGGAGGAGGATTAGGTTAGGCACGCCACTAGACCCGCCACCCCGAGCAGGCACAGAAGCCCCCACTCGACATGGCGAGCCCGTGGATTTCTCTCTCAGTCAGTTCCACCGCCGCTCGACGGCCCTCTGGCCAGCGAGGGCCCACTCCTTGGTGCCAGCACTGGCACACAAGGGTTCACGTCGGCGGGCCTGCGAGCGGCGGCGGCGGCGTCAGGCGCACAGGGCTGCGCCTGCGACACGCCGCTGGCGGTGACCTCCACGACGTCCTCCTCGTAGAGCTCCAGCTCGAAGTACACATTGCGGCCTAACCCCTCGCCGCGCAGGGGAAAATTGTGGCCTAACCCCTCGCCACGCGGGGGAAAAACGCGGTCTAACCCCTCACCGCGCTGGGGTTGGTGGCCTAACCCCTCGCCACGCAGGGGGAGCCTACGGTCTAACCCCTCACCGTGCTGGGGATCGCCTGACCCCGCAGTCTCGCCCTGCGAGGGTCGGCTGCGGTCTAACCCCTCACCGCGCTGGGGTGCGACGTACTGCTTTCCGTACTGCTCCCTCTCATTGACGCGGTCTAACCCCTCACCGCGCTGGGGTGCTTTCCTCCACTCGGAGCGGTCGTCGGGCTGTCCCTGGCTCGTGGAGATCGGGTCGTGGTGCTCATGGGGCCGCACCCCCACTATCTCCTGTCCATCATGACGCCGCCCTTCGACCCTTTGTTCTCCTTCGCCTCGAGGGAGTCCTTCATCGTCGATACGGCCTAACCCCTCGCCGTGCTGGGGTGCAGTGTCGTCGTCCTCCTCGTAGAGCTCGAGCTCGATGTAGTCGCCTGCCGCGGCCCTGGCTAACCTGCTCGAGCACGCCAGTGTATGTTCCCATCGGCCTAACCCCTCGCCGCGCTGGGGAGCATCGTGGCCTAACCCCTCGCCACGCAGGGGAACATTGTGGCCTAACCCCTCGCCACGCGGGGGAAAAACGCGGTCTAACCCCTCACCGCGCTGGGGTTGGTGGCCTAACCCCTCGCCACGCAGGGGGAGCCTACGGTCTAACCCCTCACCGTGCTGGGGATCGCCTGACCCCGCAGTCTCGCCCTGCGAGGGTCGGCTGCGGTCTAACCCCTCACCGCGCTGGGGCGCGACGTACTGCTTTCCGTACTGCTCCCTCTCGTTGACGCGGTCTAACCCCTCACCGCGCTGGGGTGCTTTGCTCCACTCGGAGCGGTCGTCGGGCTGTCCCTGGCTCGTGGAGATCGGGTCGTGGTGCTCATGGGGCCGCACCCCCACTATCTCCTGTCCATCATGACGCCGCCCTTCGACCCTTTGTTCTCCTTCGCCTCGAAGGAGTCCTTCATCGTCGATACGGCCTAACCCCTCGCCGTGCTGGGGTGCAGTGTCGTCGTCTTCCTCGTAGAGCTCGAGCTCGATGTAGTCGCCTGCCGCGGCCCTGGCTAACCTGCTCGAGCACGCCAGTGTATGTTCCGAGGGACGAGGAGGAGGAGGAGGAGGAGGAGGAGGAGGAGGAGGAGGAGTCGGCGCCCCAGGTGGGGAGAAGGATCACCTTTCCTGGCGAAGGCATCAGTGAAACGCCACGTTACTCTCCAGAACTGGAAGGCCTCCTGCCCCATGCCACGATCTTCCCCTCCTGGTGGGGGCGTTCTCACATGCAACGGCACTGTGAGCCCTCAGGGCAACAGCTTCCTCATGTCATGATCTCTCGGGCCTGGGGCTGGCACTTCCCAAATGCTGCCCACATGAGCCGAGGGAAGAGAGCTGCCACACGTCGGCGGTCGGCGGGGCAGCTCTCAACGCGAAAGGTCGCCCCACAGAGTGCTGACTTGGTATGGTGGCGGAACTTGCCTCAATCACCTGAGCAGTTCTCAAAGTAACCCTCCGCTCAAGCCCGCCACGACCCAGGACCCCAAATCCCTGGCCTGGTCTGTTCCCATCTGTCTCTCTCTTTCTCTCTCTCGTTCCCTCTCCCTCTCCCTCTCCCTCTCACTCTCCCTCTTTCTCTCTCCCTCTCTCTCTCTCTCTCCCTCTCGCTTAGATATAGATATGTATCGATGTATTGATTTCTCTGTTATCCGTCTCGATTTCTCTTTCTATCTTGTTCGCCCCTTCTCTCTCTCTCTCTTTCTCCTTCTCTCTCTCTGTCTCTTTCTCTTCCCTTCTCTGTGCCGAGTGGACCCCAAACGCTACTAGACAATGTCAACGCGTGCATGGCGGCCACAGAACACTCGACACCAAAACGACACACACTCTAAACGACCCACTGTCCGCTATGCGATGGGCCGCGCTGTGTAATAGAAATTCCCTGCACCTTACGAACTACAAGAGAGGTGAGCAAATACTGGCGGCCTTCATCTCCTCCCGCTTCACCTCGAAAATGAAAACAAGACTGAAGCACAACCATCTAGGAACAATGCGGGGAATAAAAAGCGAGCTCGACCAAATTTAGCATCGCCACCACCAAGCCTCATGCCAAACGTACAGCCCCCCCGCGCATAGATCCGTGCCCCCAGAGCATATGCCGAACGTTTTCGGAAGATTGGCAGCCGGCAACTAGAAAGAGGCGCGGCCAGCACATCATTCAGTCACACGCCGACCCAACTTGTGTGAGGACGACGACCACGACGGCGACGACGACCGCTTGCGAGAACTCACTGGGCGGGCCTGGCGGGCGGGGCCCTAACGGGCGGGTCGGACGAGCGTGGGACCCTACAGGAGGGTCGGGCGGGCGGGACTTGAAGCGGGACGACGGGTTTTCAAGCATTCGTCGGCTACACGCAAAGAGTGACCCTGGGTAAGAGTGACCTTTGGTGCGCGGCTTTCTGGAGGCCGCGGGGAGGCCAAACCTGGGCGCGCGAGCCGCTGCAACCGCTTCGTTTTCGGCCATCCGAGGGCCCATCTGTGCCCGCACCAAAAGGTCACTCCGGCGAAAGGTCACTCTTACGTCTACAGTCGGGGCCTTGACCTAAGGAACCCAAAATAAGGAACGGGGCCCCTTTTTCTCCATAATTTAAACTTCGATTTCCGATCGAAAACATCAGGAAAACCGGACGCAATCTGCGAAGCACTTAAGGAACGCGGAGCCCCTCCCCAGCGAAAAGGGTTCCTTCTTCAGGGCCCCGACTGTAATCGAATCCGGAGCGGGCGGGTTTTCGAGCATCCGAGCGGGTGGAACCCCACTGGGCGGGTCGGGCTGGCGGGGCCGTGGCGGGCCGGGCGGGCCTACTGAAGCAGGCGGGGGGTCCTAGCCGGCCAGGGCAGGCCCGGAGGGCGGGACAGGAGCGCGGGGCGTGGGAGCTGTCAAGCACTCGACCATCGGGGGCAGCAAAGAGGGGGTCGTCCCTGGCCATCGCTCGGGCGTCCATTCCCTGTGTTTTGTTCGGTTTCGTGCGTGTTTTTTTCGCCTAATGATCAAGGATGCTCCTCTGTGGTCCTCGCCGAGAAAAAATACACACGCCCGAGCGATGCCAAGGTCCGAGAAGGGGGGGGTGCAAATCATGGCCGGCGGCACGCGCGCGGCCCAGGGGGGGGGGGGGGCCCGGGGACGTATTAAAACAAGAAGAGGCGCCATGAAACCTGTGGAAATCTCATGGCTCCCGTCGTGATATCCACACACCCCTAGTCATCATCCCCCTCTTTCAGAGGAAAAAGAATTATGCACATGCACCGATTCTGGCCAGGCCCATCCTGAGCCCAGGATCGGTGCATACGCCCTCCTACCTTGGCCAGAAGGCATATGCACCAATCCTGTGTCAAGGATGGGCCTTGCCAGGATCGGTGCATGTGCATAGTTCTCTTCCCCCGATCTTTGCCGCTTTTGAGATCAGGCGAGGCCCTGCCAAGCGGGTCGGCCGGATAGGGCCCAGGGTCGGTATGGGACCGGACTCTTCAGGGCGGGTCCGGCCTGCGGGACGCTGAAGCAGGCGGGCGGCGGGCGGGCGGGACATTACATGTAAATCCAGATCGCTGATAATCAAGACTCTGTTTGTCGTCGACGTCGTCAGAGTCAGCATCGTCGTCGTCGTCAGTGTCAGCGTCGTCGTCATCGAAGTCGTCGTCGTCGTAGTCGTTGGTGTCGTCAGCGAAATCGTCAGCATCATCGTCGTCGTCAACATTGTTGTGGTCGTCAGCGTGTTCGTCATTGCCGTCATCGCTGCTGCTGTCGTCATCGTCGTCGTCGTCATCGTGGTCGTAGTCGTCGCCGTCGTCAACCTCGTTGCCGTCTTCGTCACTTGCCAGTGCGCGAGGGCTGGGGGGATCTATACCCCCGCCACCCCCCCCGGCTTTACTTTCAAATGGGGGGAGGGGGGAAGGTTGGAACTCCTGCCCCCACACACCCCACTTTGGGTGGGGGCGCGGGGCGGGGGCGGTCAAATATTGCCGGGGACTTTGGATGGGGGTGTACAGAAAACACTCTTCAATTCAGCCGACCCCCGCTTGTCGCGGGTGAAAAGGCGTGTAAGACACTTGGCTGTCCCCCTCCCCCATTCACCCTCCCCTGGGGTGCAAAACAAAAAAACCAAAGAGGCCCCCAAGAAGCCCCCAAGAGGTCCCCAGCTGCTCGAAAACCGTGACAAAGGTCTCACTCCCCTGGAGAGAGCATGTCCTGACCTGGGAATTTGGCGACAAAGCCCGATGAAGCCGAGAAGGAATTCGTACGCGTGCACTGGAAATGTGGACTGCGCTGCCTATCGCTACTTCTTGCAGGTGTAGAAGGAGGTCCTGGCACTCTGACTCTGGACATAGCGCAGAGCCCACCTACATGGTTCAGAAAGAATGTGTTCTGAAGATCGTCTGGAACTCAAACGCATTGGAATGCGACCTGGCCCAACGCAGAGAGTCAAAAGGGAGATCGGCAACATCAGGCATCAACATTGAGCACACGAATGCCAAGGCACATCAAAAGGCGACAAGTCGCGAACTCCAGTGGACCAAGGAAGTCGAACCCATTACACGCATGCCCAGGGCTGCAGAATGCCAGGGACCATGATTTCAAAAACTTTCTAGAAGGCACACTCTGAAATCAACCAGCTCAATTAGTCCAAACGGTCATGTCCGACGACTGTGTGATCCGTGGACCGACCGCGGACTATCAACGTCGCCGTACCATGCCTACGCGCAAGGGCGGCGGCCTTGATGTAGCCTGGGAGCAGGTAACCCAGCGTCTTGCCGCTGCCTGTCTTGGCTACACCTCCCGCCGATCCGCCGCTTGGGAGTCGCTCCTCCTCGAGCCAACATGCCCAACTCCGATACAAACATTCGCCCAACTCCTCCCGATCCCCCTCATCCACCTCACCGGGTGACCGCGATGGCACAACCGCGGTACTGCAAACAGAGATGTCCAACTGGGACGTTGAGCCCACCACTGCGAGGACAGGAACATGCCGTGGCCCACAGGCATGGCGGAACTACGGTGTACACTGCAGCGCGGCTGGCTGTCGTCGTAGGGGGACGAAGGTGCATAAACACAAACTATTGGAGGTTCGCGGAAATACCTTGGCTCCGCGCTGGAACCACCCTCCCTGGCGCGCGGCGCGCGCCATGGGCGGCGCCCGAGGTGCTGCGAGGGGGGCTCAGCGCAGATCCAGGAAATGCGTGCGGATCTCTGAGAAATGATGTGCATGCAGTTGTTATGCTTCTCAAGGCTTGGCCAAACTACTGTGCACTGCAGCATGGGCAACTCTCGGGACACCTCTTATCGAATTACATGTTATGTGCTTCATGCTACGTGTGCGGCAACGGGAGAGCTCCGAAACACCATCAAGGAACGGGACCAAACGCCCGGTCGTTGACTCGCTTCAACTTCATGGGAGTGGCATCGTGCTGTCCCCCACATGCGCATACTCACATTTCTCTGTGGCTTTCCCACCTGTGAATATCGTCCAAATGGCGCTCGCCCCATGAAGCAACAGCCCCGAACCCCGCCAATGACATCTTTACCCTCCATCAAGACAGGCCATGTCCAAGCCTTCGGATGGCTTGGGGCATGATGTCAACAGAGAGAGAGAGAGAGTAACGTGGAGAGATGCCCGTGAAGGGAGGGAGCTTCCGGATGTCCCTTCACATGAGTTCATACCAAGCTGTGCACATGTGAGAAAGGTGCAACAACATCGAGAGCAAATGGAGAGACCGAACTTGATGTTCAGTGGGAGGCTCGCTCCGCCGTCCCCTCCCCCTCCCCCTCCCCCTCCCCCTCTCCCTCCACCTCCCTCTCCCTCCACCTCCCTCTCCTCCTCCTCCTCCTCCTCCTCCTCCTCCTCCTTCTTCTCCTCCTCCTCCCCCTACCCCTCCTCGTCCTCCTCCTCCTCCTCCTCCTCCTCCTCCTCCTCCTCTACCTCCTCCTCCTCCTCCTCCTCCCTCATCACAAAGCTCCTCCTTCTGCGTATCTTTCGTCTCCTCCTCCCCTCTCCTGTCCCCCTCCCCACCCCACTCCCCCTTATCCTCCTCCTCCTCCTCCTCCTCCTCTCTCCTCCTCTCTTCCTCCTCCTCCTGCTCCTCCTCCTCCTCCTCGTCCTCCTCATTCTTCCCCCCTACCCTTCTCCTCCATCATCGCCAGGCTCATCCTCTTGCGCCTCTTCCGTCTCCTTCTCCCCTTCCCCCTCCCGTTCCCCCTTCC